GTACTGTTCGCAATCATCAACAAGAATATATATATGTATGTATACACACACACACATACATATATATATATATATATATATATACGTATACATACATACATATATATATATGTATATACACACACACACGCACTTTTTTTTTTGGAGGGGTTTTCGCTATAGGGTGTGTGCGTTCACCAGAAAGACAGAGAGAGAAAGAGAAAGAGAGAAATCACCTCCCAGGGGGAAAGGTCAAGCTGCAAACCCTTCTCCTCCATTCTCCTCTCGGGATCTTGGGCACACATGCACATGTGCCCTGCCTGAGTTTAAGCTGCTGGGTCTGGGACTGAAACTGAGGTCGGCTACATAGGAGTCCAGTGACAGCCATTACAACATCTGCTGGTTCCTACACACAATTTTTTTTTAAGAGAGATTTTTCCTATAGGGCACGTGCACTCTTCAGAGAAACAGAGACAGACAGAGAAACAGAAAGCCAAAAATCACCCCCTAGGGAAGATGGCCATGCTGCAATCCCTTTTCCTCCATTCTCCTCTCAGGATTTAGGGTACACATGCACACGCACCTAGCTTAAGTTTCAAGCAGCTGGATCTGGAACTCAAACTGTGCTCAGCCAGGTAGGAGTTCAGCGATGTAACCATTACGTCATCTGCAAGTCCCTTCACAAGGATACACTTTTAAAGTGCTCAAGACTGAATACACAGATGAAATAAAAAAATAATAACAAATGGAATTAAGTAAACAAATAATTCTTTAAAAAAAAACACACACACACACAGAAACAGCTCAGGGAATGGTGGCTAAAACAACTCTCATGGTGCTATCTTCTTCCATCTTAAATCTGTGTAAATTATTTATCCCTAAACAAAAACTGTTTCATATTTATTGCTACTGAATTGCTCCTAGGATGAGAAATACCAGTTTCAATTTCTAAGCTATAATGTATTTCTAGTTTTCAAGTTAAGTGGGTGATAAAGAAAATATTGAGTGCTAACACACTGAGCACTTACTATGTGCCTAGTGATATTCTAAGCACTTTACAGGTCCTACCTCAGTAAGTCCTCACAATAGTTCTAAAAAATATAAACTAGTAACATTCACATTTTATACTGAGCATAGAGAGGTGAAGGAACTTGCCCATGGTGACCAGCTGGTAAGTGCAAAGCCAACATTTGCACCCAAACAGCTGAGTTTGACAACCTGTGCTCTGAACCACTCAACCACACTGCTCTCGTAGCCACAAATACTTGCAGGTGCCAGGTGTTATATGCTGACTGAGCCTTTGAGGGGCTCAGAAGCTCTGACATACGTTATTTCATGTGCTTTTTCTAGGGACAACAAAGAGCTATCAGCCCCATTTTAGACGAAGAAATCTCAGAAAAGTTAAGTTTCTTCGAGGTCAAAGAAACGTGAGAGAAACATGAGGCCATTTACTAGCTGTATGATATGAATTTATCATCTCTCTAAACCTCAGTCAACTGTATAGCGGAAGTGGTAATAGCATCTCTTACAAAGCAAAGGAGGATATGTTTATAAAGCACCTGGCACAAATGTCCGGATAAAAGTGCTCCACAGATGCTAGCCCCCTCTCCTCATTCTACATGTGATCTGCGGCATGGTATTCTTTGAAAACACCATGCCACTACTTCTTAACACCCTCTTACCAACCGTGTAAACAGATGGGTGGCAAAGGACAGGGTTTTGGTGATTACAGTGTGATACACCAAATCAGAAACTCGGCTGAGTCCAGTTACATCACATAATTTCAAGCATAACACACTTCCTTCCGTTAGTCCATATGGCTTTATCACTCTATCAAAGCTGAAAATAAAACTGGTCTACCAAGATTTGTTCTTTACAAAATTATGCTTAATGTTCCCCAATACCTTCTGTTCTTTTAGGTAATTGCCAAATGATTTATTTGATTTGTTCTAGTTTTTGACCAGACACTGTTCGAAAATTAAATTGACCTTTTCATTTCTAAAGTTATTTTTTCCTCCATAAAAAAAAGTATGCTTTATTCTGTCATCAGTTACTTCTCTTATTCATTGTGATTTCTCACAAATAAAGGCTAATAATTTGGCATCAGGGTCTTTTCCCTCATATTTGCAGAGGGGAAACATCTAATACTAAACTACAAGCACAATTCATGCCAGTGTGGCCAAAGCAATTAGTATTTCCTGTCAACTGGACAGAATTTTCTAGAGAAAGATTAAAACACGGGGACGGCAGGTGGTGTGATTAAGGGCACTGGACTTCCTTCTACATGGCCGACCATGGTTCTAATCTCAGACTTCGTAACTTGCTTTCTCACTGTCTCTCTCTCTGGTCAAATTAAAATAAATAAGTAAAGTTAAATAATTCTTTAAAAAAAGAAAGAAAGAAAGATTAAAATGCAAGAAGGTAGTATGGTCTCTTCTAAAGGAAGATGGCTGCATAATCAATCTATCCCTCCCCAGTAATATGGGATTCATGAAGCACACACTCTGTTGGCTTCCAAATACCATTTAACATACCCCCTTGTCTGAAAGCAACCTGGACATAGATGCTAAAAGCCAAAGGAATTGTCTAATCAACTGCTGACTTCCTAAATCTACTATTACTAAGTCATTTTGGGAGGTTACATCAGAAGCGCCACAGAGGGAAGTGGTACTGTGGGAACAATTCATTTGTATTTGGCACAGTGAAGGTTCACTGCCAATTTGGAACAGTATGGATTCAGTAACTTTTCAAAGCCAAAAATGATGTTTGGATTTGAACAGCTTTTCAAAGCAGCTTTTGCTGAGCTAATACAAAATTTAAAAACCTGTAAGAGTTGCTAAAGTACAGGCAATGTTTAGGAATTAAATATGACCTATCACTTGATTTGCTAAAAAAGCACTGAGCTAAGACAGGATATTTGGCTTTAAACATTCAATCTTTATCTTTTTCTTTTTTAAAATTTTGCCAGACGGTGCATGAGCTCACCAGAAAGAAAGAGGGGGCAGGGGGAACAGAGAGAAAACCCCCTCCAATGGGGCACAGTCATGCTGCAATTCTCTCTTTCATTTCTCCATCCTATTGGAATTCTGGGTACACACACACATGCCCGGGATTATTTTCAAACTGCTGGGTCTAGGACATAGATCACACTGCCAGGTCCAGGATTTGAACTGAACTCAGCCATGTGGGATCTGGCTTCACCACCAGCCACAGGCCAGCCCACATTCACTTTCTTGAGCTAATTTTATTAAAAGGAAATGGAAGATCATTTTTGGTGCTTGAGTTTAGCCATCAATAAACAATATTATTTGTCCTACTGATTTTTTTAAGAGTTATTTTATTGGGACCAGCAGTTAGCATAACGGCTATGTCGCTGGACTCCCACGTAGTCAACCACGGTTCGAGTCCCGGACCCGGTGGCTTAAACTCATGCCGGGTGTGTGTGCGTGCATGCCCAGGATCCTGAGAGGAGAATGGAGGAGAAGGGATTGCGGCGTGGCCATCCCCCCTGGGGGGTGATTTCTCGCTTTCTGTCTCTCTGTCTCTCTGTCTGTCTGGCGAGCACATGCGCCCTATAGCAAAAACCTTTCCAAAAAAAAATAAAATAAAAGAATTATTTTATTATTTTTTTTAAAATTAACTAGAGACAGAGAAAGAGAGAAAGTGAGAAAGTTAGCCACCAGGTCTGGGACTCAAACCATGGTGAGCCATATGGGAGTATAACACCTTTACCACCATGGCACCTGTTGGCCCCTGTCGGCCCCTGTCCTACCTATCTTATTAGTAGATAAATGAAATGACTGCTGTTGAGCACTGTTCAAAACTTAAAATATTGGGGTAAGCAGGTGGTATGGTGGTTAAGGCACTGGACTCACTCATGGCCAATCGTAGTTTGAGTCCTGGACCTGGTGGCTTGAAAATCACACCAGGCGCATATGCCTATATGCCCATGATCCCAGGAGGAGAATGAAGGAGAAGGGACTGTGGCATGGCAACCCCCCTGTAGGGTGATTTCTCACCTTCCCTCTCACTGTCTCTCCAGTGAATATATATGCCCTATGGCAAAACCCTAAAAAAAAAAAAAAAAAGTTTAAACAACTTTAAGTATTATAACAATGTAAGACATAATATATTTTTAAAAATTATTTTATTTAACTTTATTTTTATTTTATTTATTTTAATTTGACCAGAGAGGGACAGAGTGAGAGTGAGAGAGAAAGAGAGAGAAAGAGAGAAGAGAGAGGGAAAGTGAGAAAGCAAGCCACCAGGTCTGGGACTAGAACTGTGATCAGCCATGTGGAAGTCTAGCACCCTTAACCATCACACCACCTGCCAGCCCAACATAATTATATTTTTTAAACTTGTAAGCATTTATGAGGAGGTCATTTGAATCATGCCAGTTCTACAGGCTAAATACCCATTATTAACCAAGTAAGTGTGTGATGATGTTTTCATAGCCCTTCATGGAAATACATCTATCAATAAATATGAATTTTTGTACTATCACTACTAATTTTTAAAAAATTTTTATTTATTTAATAGGAGAGAGAGGAAGAAAACGAAACCCTCAACACAGTCTCATGCTTCAAGACCTCTCCTCCCAGGTCCTCCCAGTCAGCCAGGATGCCAAGGTCACAAGCCTGGCATGTAGAAGTCAATCAGGAAACCGATCCTATGAGCCTTCATATGGACCCGGCAGCTCCTTAGCATTGCGCCACTGCTATGCCACTGAGCTGGCCCAGTTCCTACTAATCTTGTTCCACTTTTATAATTTAATACTTATAATAAATTCAATATAAATTCACTTAATTAAAAAGTAAAAAAGCTAGAACATCAAGAATATCTTAATACTATTGCCAAAAGCCTTTTCAATTTCAAATAAATATATTTTATAAAATAAGACTAACTTCCTAGTAACACTGAAACTAAAAAGGTAAAATGTAATGATTTCAAACAAAAAAAATAATGGTTTCAAACAAAAAGAACACTCACACGGTTGTCCATGAGATACCTCAACTCACCTCATCTCCCTTCAAAACTTCAGTGCCATCGAGTCCACGGGTCTGATTTGTCTTTATGGACACTTCTCTCTCAAGATTAGCTAACTTCTCCTTGGCCTCCTGAAGTTCCTCAGCTTTCCCTTCTTTTTTACGAGAAATGATGGATGCCTAATTGAGCATTAAATATAAAACAAGATATACAAAGAACTTTCTATTATCTTGTGAAATCATCTATTTTTGGTTAGTTTTATCAAGCTAAATTTCCAGTATCAGCTTGGCTTCCTCTAACCAATACTCTTTGCCTTACAATCATCATTATCAATTATATACTTAATCTGAATGTACAAAGTATGCTAAATACCAAGTTAAAACATAGTGGAGTTACTAATTTTTTAAAATCTGGAGATTAGGAGTGATGGAAGAATATTTATTGTTTACTTCCTTCTCACTTTAAGGTTATAGATAACAGTGATTTTTTTTTTTAGAATTATTTTATTTAACTTTATTTAATTATTAATTTATTTTCATTTGACCAGAGAGGGACAGAGCAAGAGAGAGAAAGGGAAAGTGAGAAAGTAAGCCACCAGGTCCAGGACTCAAACCGAAGTCACCCACGTGGGAGTCCAGCGTCCTTAATCACCACGCCACCTGCCGACCCTGCACAGTGATGGTTTTAATGAAGAATGTGCACCAATAAGATTACAGACTAAAAGGTGGTCCAAGAGTGGTCTCACCTGTTGCCTATATAGAGAGAGTTTGCCTTCAATGGGCTCATTTCTCATCATTTTCTTTTCGATCAGCTGATTGATCTCTGTGTTTATTTCATTTATCTACAACAGTACAAAAGTAAAAAAAAAGGTCAAACCTCTCCCTATGATTACACAAAGTAAATCATATCTGAGCAAACCCAGCTTTGAATTTACAGTTCATGCCGTCAGTGAATTGATGAGTAACAGTTCCATGAATGTTATGAGTGGACTGTTATGATTACTTTTAGAAACAATTTACATTTCATGATATATATTTGCACAATGAGATTACTTATCTGGATTTTATCATCCATGTCTAAATTATCCTAAAGCATTTTATAGGGAATATTTATATATTACTACCAACAAGAGGCTTTCTAAAAATGTAGTTATCCCTTCACCTAGGTTGTGACTTCCAGGTCACTACAAGTGAAAAAGAGGAGCTGGTCAAACAACCCCTAGGGATTTGGTATGAGTTCTTGCACCCAGCTCAGCGTTAACATGGCAGACACAGAAGCCCTTCCGTGATTCTTCCACAGCTATGGTTACCCTAGACGTTAATCCAAACCTTCTCAAAACGTAAGAATACTGAATAAATCCAATAGAAACACATAGTCCCTCAACAAGTGAAAACAAACAAAATACGGATTTAAGTATATCTATCGTTTGAAAGATTAGAGCTTTCCAATTAGTTCTATGACATTAAACTTGAACTAAATCTGACCTGGACATCTAATTTCTCTTAAATTAAAAGAACAAAATAGTCAAAATTACATATTTAATTGTAGTGGCTACGAAGCACATATTAGCACATGAAAAGAATTAGTAAGTAAAAATATTTTAATTTTTAAAATGCTACTTAAAAAAAAATATATATATATATATATTTGATTAATATTTTATTTCTAGGGCCAGCAGGTGGTGTGGTGGTTAAGGCGTTGGAATTCCCGCATGGCCAACTATGGTTCAAATCCTGGACCTGGCAGCATGCTTTCTCCCTCTCTCTAGTAAAACTCATGTGAAAAAATAATAAATAAAAAAATAAAATAATTCTTTAAATAAAAATTTATTTCTAGAGAACAAAAATATTATGATGCCAGCTTTTAATGAACACTACAACAAAGACTGGTAATTCCAAAGGCTAATATTTTTATAAAAGGCTTAAATAAACAATTGCTAAATATTACACTTACAAATAAAAATTTAAAATATTTTAAAAGTTGTTGTCTAAATGATTATAAACTTATGAGTCAATTCACATGCATTAATTTATATATTTGAGTTATTTTGTTTCCTAATCAGTTGACTAGGCTTTTATAATATCGTGTGGATTAAGCAACAGTGTAACAGCATATATATAATTTTGTAATTTCTCAGAAAAGACAACTCCTTATAAGAGCTGACAACTCCTAACAGGCTAACTTAAAAATCAAGAGTAGGACATTATGGAAAGAAATTCACATAATTTTCATAGAACTCAAAATAAGTTAAAGTTGGGAGCTATAAAAAAGATGACTGTCACTTACTTTAGATTCCAGTTCAAGAAGATCAGACTGGCCCATAGCTGGCTCTGAAACCACTTTTTGTAAAAAATGTAATTCCTTCTTCTTGTTCTCTAATTCTTTCGGAAATTTTTCAGTTACCATATATGAATTAAATTTTATCTCTTCCTCTAGCCTCTTCATTAAACCTTTAAAAATAAAATAAATGAATATTCAGCCCCAACAAATAGGAATAGTGATACTCAATACTCTGTTTTGAACTACCCTGGATAGTAGGGTTTGTCAGTTAAAAGCGTTTAATAACTACTACAGTACAATAAAAACTGGTAACTGAATTCTTATGACAGTAATTGAAAGATAATGAAGAACAACAAAGTGGATGGAATAACAAATATAGAAAAAGTGATATTGTAGTCTAACCAAATTAGATCTAATTCTTTCATATCTCACAATATGCAAATAAAACATTTGCAGAACCAGAGGTATTGCTGGGTCATATTTTGCCTTTTTAGTATTTAAAAAATTGATGAAACAATGACAACATTGGAAATGAAATCTAACTCAGGTACTCTTAGACTAATAGTCATTTATTCTTTTTTTTCTGTAATACTTTCGATACAATTTATATTTCTATTGTAATATTTCATAAGTGGTAACTAATAATTTTTCAGCTTCTAACCAATAAAAACATTACCAAAGATACTAGTTAAAATCTGAAAAAGAAAATGTTTTTAAGTTTTGGTTTTTTGTTTTTTTTTTACTTTATGAAGTATTAGTTTGTATTAACAGTTAAGTGGCAACTGAAATGATACTTTTAAGGATTTAATGGTTTTCTTATTTTGGCAGATGCACAACTATACACATTTTCAGTGAATAATGGTTTTGTTATAAATTCCCAGCCTAGAGAGCCTTAGAAAGTTTATTTCAGATCTTTCCATTACACATTTACAAATTCTGGCTTGACTTTTTAAAACACTGGGTTTCCGGCTTAAGTAATCTACGTACGTAGATTGCATAATAAATCTGGCTGGAGCCTTAAAATTATTTTTAGTTCTATTGTGCTAACCATATATTAACATGTAGAAATTTAGTAACGACAGATTCACAAGTTTTCCATTCATTCCTTCAATGGCCTTGCTCTCAGGACTGCAGAGAGGAAGGACAGAGAAAGTAATGAATCACATAATAATTAGGCAGTCATTCCTGTGTGGGTTCCACTTAAATCTACATCTTAGCTTTTCCTTCTATCTGATGGCTAGCTTTTCCAGGCTTTTAAAGAATTAGTAAGTAAAAATATTTTAATTTTTAAAATGCTACTTAAAAAAAAAAATATATATATATATATTTGATTAATATTTTATTTCTAGGGCCAGCAGGTGGTGTGGTGGTTAAGGCGTTGGAATTCCCGCATGGCCAACTATGGTTCAAATCCTGGACCTGGCAGCATGCTTTCTCCCTCTCTCTAGTAAAACTCATGTGAAAAAATAATAAATAAAAAAATAAAATAATTCTTTAAATAAAAATTTATTTCTAGAGAACAAAAATATTATGATGCCAGCTTTTAATGAACACTACAACAAAGACTGGTAATTCCAAAGGCTAATATTTTTATAAAAGGCTTAAATAAACAATTGCTAAATATTACACTTACAAATAAAAATTTAAAATATTTTAAAAGTTGTTGTCTAAATGATTATAAACTTATGAGTAAATTCACATGCATTAATTTATATATTTGAGTTATTTTGTTTCCTAATCAGTTGACTAGGCTTTTATAATATCGTGTGGATTAAGCAACAGTGTAACAGCATATATATAATTTTGTAATTTCTCAGAAAAGACAACTCCTTATAAGAGCTGACAACTCCTAACAGGCTAACTTAAAAATCAAGAGTAGGACATTATGGAAAGAAATTCACATAATTTTCATAGAACTCAAAATAAGTTAAAGTTGGGAGCTATAAAAAAGATGACTGTCACTTACTTTAGATTCCAGTTCAAGAAGATCAGACTGGCCCATAGCTGGCTCTGAAACCACTTTTTGTAAAAAATGTAATTCCTTCTTCTTGTTCTCTAATTCTTTCGGAAATTTTTCAGTTACCATATATGAATTAAATTTTATCTCTTCCTCTAGCCTCTTCATTAAACCTTTAAAAATAAAATAAATGAATATTCAGCCCCAACAAATAGGAATAGTGATACTCAATACTCTGTTTTGAACTACCCTGGATAGTAGGGTTTGTCAGTTAAAAGCGTTTAATAACTACTACAGTACAATAAAAACTGGTAACTGAATTCTTATGACAGTAATTGAAAGATAATGAAGAACAACAAAGTGGATGGAATAACAAATATAGAAAAAGTGATATTGTAGTCTAACCAAATTAGATCTAATTCTTTCATATCTCACAATATGCAAATAAAACATTTGCAGAACCAGAGGTATTGCTGGGTCATATTTTGCCTTTTTAGTATTTAAAAAATTGATGAAACAATGACAACATTGGAAATGAAATCTAACTCAGGTACTCTTAGACTAATAGTCATTTATTCTTTTTTTTCTGTAATACTTTCGATACAATTTATATTTCTATTGTAATATTTCATAAGTGGTAACTAATAATTTTTCAGCTTCTAACCAATAAAAACATTACCAAAGATACTAGTTAAAATCTGAAAAAGAAAATGTTTTTAAGTTTTGGTTTTTTGTTTTTTTTTTACTTTATGAAGTATTAGTTTGTATTAACAGTTAAGTGGCAACTGAAATGATACTTTTAAGGATTTAATGGTTTTCTTATTTTGGCAGATGCACAACTATACACATTTTCAGTGAATAATGGTTTTGTTATAAATTCCCAGCCTAGAGAGCCTTAGAAAGTTTATTTCAGATCTTTCCATTACACATTTACAAATTCTGGCTTGACTTTTTAAAACACTGGGTTTCCGGCTTAAGTAATCTACGTACGTAGATTGCATAATAAATCTGGCTGGAGCCTTAAAATTATTTTTAGTTCTATTGTGCTAACCATATATTAACATGTAGAAATTTAGTAACGACAGATTCACAAGTTTTCCATTCATTCCTTCAATGGCCTTGCTCTCAGGACTGCAGAGAGGAAGGACAGAGAAAGTAATGAATCACATAATAATTAGGCAGTCATTCCTGTGTGGGTTCCACTTAAATCTACATCTTAGCTTTTCCTTCTATCTGATGGCTAGCTTTTCCAGGCTTTTAAACATACTGCACAGAATCAAAGACTAAAATGTTTTTAAAGACTTAAAATTCTTAAATAACATATTTTATCTTTTCAAAAAAAAAGCTTAAAATACCAGAAAATACAAACTATACTGACAAAGCAGATCACTGGTTGCCTAGGAATGAGGAGGGGGGCAGGAGTAAGACATTACAAAGGAGAATAAGCAAATGGCTAGGCGTGATGGGCACATTCACTTCTTATTTAAAAGTTGTTGGTTTACCAGTGCACACATGTCGAAACTAATCAAGTACATACTTTAAGTATGTGCAGTTTATTACACTCAATTTTAGCTGTTACAAGTATATAGGGTGAGACCAGCAGTTGGCATAATGGCTGTATCGCTGGACTCCCATGTAGTTAACCGCGGTTTGAGTCCTAGACCCAGACCTGGTGATTTAAACTCACACTGGGCATGTGCGCCGTGGCCATCCCCCCTTGGGGGGTGATTTCTCACTTTCTGCCTCTTTGTCTCTCTCTGTCTTTCTGGTGACCACACACTTCCTATACCAAAAACCTCTCCAAAATAAATAAATTAATTAATTAAGACGAAAAATATTCCTAAAAAAAAGTATACAGAGTGAGCCTGCAGGTGGCATGGGGGTTAAGGGCACTGGACTCCCACATAGCCACCTACAGTTTGAGTCCTAGACCTGGCAGCTTGTTTTCTTGCTTTCTTTCTCTCTGTCTCACTCTGTCCCTCTCTGGTCAAATTAAAATAAATGAATAAAGTTAAATTAAAAATTCTTAAAAAAAAAAAAAAAAGCGTAGAGGGTTTCCATCAAATTTTTAGTTCTTTTCTTATGTTTAACTTAGACCAGGCATATGTTTCTATGCAGTTTTTGCAACATTATTTTTATATTTTAAAATAATTATTTTATTTTTATTTATTATTTTAATTTGACCAGAGAGGGACTGAGTGAGAGAGAGAGAGAGAGAAAGTGAGAAAGCAAGCCGTCTGGTCTGGGACTTGAACAGTGGTCAGCCATGTGAGAATCCAGTGCCCTCAACCACCACACCACCACATCAGCCCCAAAATATTGTCTTTAAAAATCCCAGTAAAATTAAATATAAAGTCACTAAGATCTCAGCAAACTTTCTTACTAAAAACCTTCTGAAAACATCTCACTGATCCTATTATAACTGAGTGATTTCTTTTATGCAATAAATCTCACAATATGAATTAACTTCAATGACTATTTTATAAGGCTGTTCAGTTTACAAAAACACAAATTACACTGTTATACTACAAATAAATTTGATGTTACTTAAAGAAATAGAAGAATTTCATGGGGCCAGCAGGTGGCATGGTTTTTTTTTTTTTTTGAGAGGTTTTCACTATAGAGAGCGTACGCTCGCCAGACAGAGAGACAGAGAGACAGAAAGCGAGAAATCACCCCCTGGGGGGAATGGTCACACCGCAATCCCTTCTCCTCCATTCTCCTCCCGGGATCTTGGGCACGCACACACACGCGCCCAGCGTGAGTTTTAAGCCACCGGGTCTGGGACGTGAACCGCGGTCGACTACGTGGGAGTCCAGAGACATAGCCATTACGCTAACTGCTGGTTCCCAAGTAGGTGGGCATGGTGGTTAAGGTAGCTGGACTCCCACGTGTCTGACAGTGGTTCAAGTCCTAAACCTGACAGCTTGCTTTCTCACTTTCCTTCTTTCTGTCTCTCTCTGGTCGACTTAAAAAAATAGTAATGACAATGAATAAAATTAAATAATTAAAAAAAAAAGAAATAGAAGAATTTCAGAACAGCAGGTGGTGTGGTGGTTAAGGGCGCTAGACTCCCACATGGCCGACCATGGTTCAAGTCCCAGACCTGATGGCTTGTTTTCTCACTTTCTCTCTCTCTCCCCTTCTCACTCCATCCTTCTCTGGTCAAATTAGAATAAATAAATAAATAAAGTTAAATAAAACAATTCTTTCAAAAAAGAAATAGAATTTGTCAGCCTTTTTGTTACTAAAAATTTTAGATAGACCTTATTAAATACTTGGATCAATTAAACATCTGTTTACTCTGTTCCTAGGCTACTGAATACAACTTTTGAGTCTATTTACCACTGCCTAGAAAGATATCAACAAAGCAAGAACTCCTTAATCTCTTGCTCCCCCTATTCATCCACTAGTTAATACACATTAATCATTCATCTTACAGGGAACACTATACTGATTTCTTAAATATCATTTAAATATGCCATATATCCTCAATTTTTAAGATGTTGTGGCTGGTAGGTGGTGTGGTGGTTAAGGGTGCCAGACTCCCACATGGTCGACCGCGGTTTGAGTCCTGGATCTGGCAGCTTGCTTTCTCACTTTCCCTCTCTTTGTCTGTCTCTGCTCAAATTAAAAAAAACAACAAAAAAAAAAACAAAAAAAAAAACAAAAAAAAAACAACTGAACAGGATTTAAAAAAAAAGATGTCATCTGTTATAAAACACCACCGGGCCAGCAAGTGGCATGGTGGATAGGGGCACTGGATTCCCACATGGCCAACCACGGTTCGAGTCTCAGACCTGGTGGCTTGCTTTCTCACTTTCCCTCTCTCATTCTCTTTCTCTGTGTCTTTCTGGTCAAATTAAAAATAAATAAATAAATAAATAAAATGAATGAATAAATTAAATTAAAAAAAAAACACCATCAACTACATTTAATATCATACATGTATGGTATATTCCGATTGCAAAAAAAAAATTAAAATAGGGAAAAAAATACTATCTAGAATTAAGGAAATACCGCATTCTTTTTATTTTGAACTCTTGTTATAGGGTGTATATGTTCACCAGAAGCAGAGAGAGAAAATAAGACATCCCACTGCAGGGGGGATGGCTATGCCACAATCCCTTCTACTCCAGTCTCCTCTCAGGAATTTGGGCACACATGCACACATGCCTGGCATGATTTTCACCCACTGGGTGCAGGACTCAAATTGCACAGTCAGCCATCCCGTTTCCAGCAGCCTTAACCTCCATACCACCTGCTAGTCCAGTATTATTTAACAGCTTTATTGAGATGGAATTTATATAACTGCCCATTTAAAGTATACAATTCAATGTTTTTTAGTATATTCTGAGTTGTATAAACATCAGTACAATTTTCAAACATTTTTATCAGCCCCCAAAGAAGCCTTCATACCCATTAGCAGTTATTTCCCGGCTCCTGATGCCCATCCACCCCAACTCCCTCCCAATAGCTGTCCTCTTTTACAATCCACAGCCCTAGGCAACAACTAATTTGATTTCTGTCTCCATGGGTTCACTCAATCTGGACATTTCATGTAAGTTGGATAACAGTATGTGGTCTTCTGTGACTAGTTTCTTTCATTTAGCATGTTTTTGAGGTTCAATGATGTCATAGCATCTGTCAGTACCTCATTCCTCTTTTGAGGCAAAATATTCTATTGTATGGCTATTCGGCACTTTGTTCATCCACTCACTAGTTTAGAGACGTGAACTGTTTCCACTGTTTGGCTATTGTGTATAATGTCATCAGCATTTGTGTTCAAGTTTTTATGTGGATGTATATTTTCGGTTCTTTTGGTATAATCCCTAGGAATCCAAACGCTGGCTCATATGATAACTCTATGTTTTATCTTTTCAGACTGTTTTCCAGGGCTTCATAGGCTGCTATGGAATGATGAATTAACCCTCTATCAGCTGGAAATTTATTCTAGAATATTTCTTTGATACAAACAAGAGCTTTGCACTGTTCTACCAGTTTGCATGCAAAAAACACTTTTTAGATGCCTAAGATGGATTTGGTGTTTAATCGTGGATATTAGAATAGCTTATCCTCTGTACAGAGCAACATAAGAACAGAGCCAGGGACACTCACATCATTAACACTGCTAGTCTACAAACCAAAATATGAAAAACTCTCATTTTTAAGGAACCAGCATGGTTTTCTTTCTTTCTTTTCTTTTCTTTTTTTTTTTTTTTTTTAACAGCCCTGACTCTAAAACAATGATCACATTTTTTCCACCCATCTTTTTCACAACATCCATCCTAATTACTTTACACAACACTCCAGGAAGCTTACTTCCAGGGTCGTTATCATTACCTCTGACTGAAAAACTGGACAGGGATTTTAAAAATCCCTGAGTGAAGGCCCCGGGCCTCCCAGGGTGGCCCAAATAAACTCGGACCAGCCAGTGAAGAAAAAGAAATCCCGAGTGAAAACCCAAGGATGACTTCATCAGGGCTATCTTTCACCTGTTAGGAAATCATGCTCCAAAATGCTGAGCTATCACTTGATGATTATTAATTCCCATTAACTGACTGTCTTTAGGAAGACCCTGACTTAATTCCCATTAACTGACTGTCTTTAGGAAGACCCTGACTTAAATTAGTATTTTCTAACTACCTATATCATATAATAATTTCCACTTACTTTCAGGCTTTGCATCTGCTGCAGCATGGCGCATACTTTTTAGCTGGTTTTGTACTCTCTGCAATCTCTGCACCGCATGAAATAGCTTTAAAATACAATTAGAACTATTACTTGCTTAGTCTATTGAAACTTGCCATTCACATAGGCAATGAAAAACAAGTTCCACATCATTCTTACAATACAAAAGGAACAAAAAAGAAGAAAATTACTATACTGAACCCAAAATCTCACCGGTTTGCTCAGCACCTTTTCATGTAAACCTAAAAAAGCTTTCAGATATATTTTTTAGCTATTTGTTAAATTTAGTGATCAAGGAAAAAAATCTTGTTAAAAAATATATATGTGATGGGTTTTTCTTGTTATAAATGGATTTCTTAATTCTAAGGAATGTTAACATTCTCAAAATGATGACTCGGACTCAGAAACGGGTGCTAAGTAATCACTCCTGGCTTAGGCAATGCAGCTTACTGCTGCAGTGTGCTACGATGCCAGCTCAAGCTCTAACACAGCCAGACATCCAAACTGCCAAATTAGTAGGAAATGAAACGGATTTGAAATATGTTTTTAGTGTATGCATCTGCCCAAATTTTAATTCTATTTTTAAGAAATAAAAGTAATACTTCCTGATCAAATTAATGTTTCTTTAAAGCAAAATGTAAAAACAAGGAGTGTGTGTGATTCTGAGCTTTTTCATGATTTGCTTATTTGCCACTAAAGTACAGCAAGTACTATGATCAGTGGAATATAAAGGATGTTTTCATAGCTCCAGAATCTTAAGGACATCCTGTAGAGATTCTGCAAGTTTCACTAGCAGTTAATCTTACTGCTTAACAGTACAGTAAATCTTCTGTAAAACTGGAACAACATAAGCTAAGCATAGGCCAAAAGATAGCACATTGATACCTACAGAGCACAGAACCCAAAAGGTGCTACTGTTGTTGCTGCAGTGCCACAAAATACTCTTAAAAGAGTAGTTCATTGGGGCCAGCAGGTGGCATGGTGGTTAAGGTGCTGGCTGACTATGGTTTGAGTTCCAGACCTGGTGGCTTACTTTCTTATTTTCCCTCTCTCTCTTTGGAGAGCATATGTGCCCTACAGCAAATTTAAAAATAGTAATAATAATAATTCATTAAATTAAATAAATAATTCTAAAAAAATTCTTAAAAAAGAAAAAAAAGTAGCCTATCATGTTAACAAAGGGAAATGTGAACTTCACAATTCTAAAATTTTTCTTTCTTTACATCTGAATCATCAGAAGTAACTATTTTTTACATCCTGAGAAGAGAAACTTTCATGTGGATACCTGATTCTTCTGTTCCAGTTTCTGTTGTGCAAGAAATTCTTCTCTCTCTTTTTCAACTCGAAGTTGCCTTGCTATTTTAAGCATCCGCTGATGATTCTGAACAGTCTCCACCTACAGTGAGGGAATAAGTAGTACATGTTACTGTCAGGTTCAAGAAAGAAATTAGCATGTCACGTGACTCAGACAGCTACTTATCATTTCCTTCTGGTAAACAGTACTCCCTAGAGATGACAGTAAACTCTAGACTCCAGATCCTTAAAAATTTTGGGCTAATGCCTAGGGAGATTCCCTTTCCGTCAATGTTATTTGAGTCCATCCTCAGATGTACACCCATGTCTGGCTTAATCTTTATTTACATTCCTAAATCTTTGCAAGTCCTTAGAACTCAGGGCCAAAGTCTTAAAGAGTGCTAATTCTTGCCTTACCCTTTTCTTCAAACGTTCAACTCTCTTAATGAGCTGATCCTTTTCCTCCTCCATTGCACTGATATCCTAAGAAGTTATAAAGAAGACATTATGAGAAAGTATTCTTAGTCTGTAGGATTCAGGTAAGATTTTTATATGATTATACACGCGCCATTGCCATCATCTATACCCAAGCACTAAGAACAAAGATCCTCTTCTGGACAAAAGGCATTTTTATCTTCCTCCCGGGATTCTGTATGCAGGGAAATTTTTTTTTTGGCAGTTTGGTGTTCATCAAGAAAAGCAACTAAAACAGATTATAACACAGCAAGGTAAAGCTGCCAACCAGCACATTTGTATTCTGATTCCAAATATGGGCACATGATTTTTCAAAATTTTTCTATAATGGAAAGTGTGCAGGTTTAAATACATGAACAACAGCTGCTGACATTCCATCTGCTGTGTTAAATACCAAGTCATATAGTCTGCCAATTTTCCATAAGAATTATTTTTAAGGCTATAGTGTTTTTAAGACATAAAAATCTGTGTTAGGTTTTGCCAATTAACAAATTCCCTTCCTGAAAATAAAGAGTCCAAAAATAAACTATCTCCCTTTTAATCAACTCCATAAATGTTGTAATGGAAACAAACAAATCTTCCTAAACCTAAAAAGCTAACAGCCGGGACCAGCAGTTGGCATAATGGCTATGTCGCTAGACTCCCATGTAGTCGACTGCAGTTCACGTCCCAGACCCGGCAGCTTAAACTCATGCCAGGCACATGTGTGTGCGTGCCTAAGATCCTGAGAGGAGAATGAATTGTGGCATGGCCATCCACCTTGTGGGGGATGATTTCTCACTTTCTCTCGGTCTCTCTCTGTCTTTCTGGTGAGTGCACACACCCTGTAGCAAAAACCTCTCCAAAAGAAAAAACTAATAGCCTAACTATCATATTATTACTAAAAGTAAAATATATATGTAGTCAGTAGTGATAAAATCTGAAGAAATGAGCACCTTAATTCATTAATGGTATTGAGGAGCAACATCGAAAGTCTTAAATAAATTAGCATCCTTTCTATTCTAGTAATTTCATATTTGGGAATTCATCCTAATAAAATATTAAAGAAAAGTCATACACTTCTCTTTAAGGATTTTTGCTGATGCTAATTATATGTAAAATCTGGAAACAACCTAAATGTCAAAAGATTGTTAAATAAATTACAGCTTAGTATAATGAAAGTCTTTTAAATATTATACAGGGCTGGTCCTATAGCATAGCATTTAGGCACTGTGTATTGGGAACTGGAAACCATATAACCAACTGCGGTTCAAAACCCAGCCCCAGTGGCTTGAATAACACACTAGGTGTGTGTGCGAATGTGCATAAAATTCTGATGTTAAGGGGAAATGGAGGAAAACGGATCACAACATGACCACATCCCATTGAGTGTGCTTTCTCTCCCTTTTTCTCTCTCAACCTCTCTCTCTCCCTCTCACACACTGGGGAGCACACACACCCTCTGGCAAAAAATTTTTTAAAAAGTATAAAAAATGTTTAATGGGGACCAGCAGATGGCATAATGGTTATGTCTCTGAACTCCCACGTAGTCAACTGTGGTTCAAGTCCTTGACCCAGCGACTTGAACTCACGCCAGGCATGTGTGCATGTGTGCCCAAAATCCTGAGAGGAGAATGGAGGAGAACATACTGCAGTATGGTCAGCCCCAGAGGGGTGATTTCTCACTTTCTGTCTCTCTCTTTCTCTGTCTCTCCAGTGAGTCCATGAGCCCTTAGCAAAAATCTCTCTATTTAAAAAAAAAAAAAAAAGATGTAATGAAACAAATAATGATATAATGTTACTGCTAAAGAAATAGATTATAGTATTTATATATATGAAGGGACTTTAAAAAGTTTATGGAAACTTAAAGTATGAGTTTATTTTGGTGCAAAATATTTTTTTAATTCCTGTGCATTTTTTCACAGTATGCACTTTCCATGAAATTTTTGAACCGCCTTTATATATGCAATAACAACTCAAAACCCACGTTAGTGCTCTACACGATACATAAGATCTCATTATGGATTTACCCTGCTTCATTCATTTCTTTAGTAAAAAACTACTCAAAGCCCCATGAAAGAGCTTATCATTTGCTATCATTACCTGTGTATAGTCTCAAGACTCAAATTGAATTAACTAAAAACAAAAATGCTAAATTCAGTATAGTACAAATCCTAAAATCCTGTTACGTTTTTTCTTTACCCTTCTTATTTCTGCTGTGGAAAATCCAGATGTCTTGAGCTGCTCACATTCTTTATGCAAAGTTTTAAAGGCTTCCATCAACTCTTCATACTAAAAGAATAAGTTAATAAATTACAAACTACTGATTAGATCCAGTAGGGTTTTCTTAATCAGTATTTATTAACCTATAATGATTACTTAAATCATTGTAAGAATAGCATTAAAAACACATCCTTGAAGATTTATATGTAGCAGTACTAGCAGGTGGCATGGTGGTTAAGGCGCTGGATATTCCCACATGGCTGACCACAGTTCAAGTCCCAGACCTGGTGGCTTTCTTTCTCCCTTTCCCTCTCTCTCTTTCCGTGACTCTCTCTGGTCAAATTAAAATAAATGAATAAATAAAGTTAAATAAATAACTCTTTTAAAAAAGATTTACATGTAAGTCACAAAAGAGCAGATCTGTTCAACCTGGCTACTGAATACTCATCCAGCTTCACTCTGTTACGTTTGCATTTCACCCTCTGTGAGGACTAATGCTAATCAGCAAAGTGTTCTGCAGTTTCAAGCCCAGGATTCTGTTATCCACAACTGCAAAGTAATAAATTACTCTAAAAATTTTTAAAGAATTATTTTATTTACCTTTACCTGTCTATCTGAATTTGACCAAAAAGGGACAAAGAGAGAGAGAAAGCTGCCAGGTCTGGGACTTGAACAGCAGTCAGTCATGTGGGAGTCTAGTGCCTTTAACTACCATGCCACCTGTCAGCCCAATTACTCTAAAATCTTAATTTCAGTTTTTTTCCTACCCATATATTCCTATCATTAAAACGGGATTTGTATGCAAAAGTCATTATTTTAACATGTGACCACAGCTAAACATTATAGTTTTACCTTCTAGTGCCACCTGTAACCACAGAGATATTTAGATAGAATGATGGCCAGTGATTGGTACAGTGGTTAAGGGGCTGGATGCCCACGTGGCCAACTATAGTTCGAGTCCCAGACCTGGCAGCTCAAAATTCATGGCAGGCACGCATATGACTAAAATCCCAGGGAGAGAACGGAAGACAAGGGTTTGCAGCATGGCCATCCCCACCACGGAGTGACTTCTCACTTCCTCTGTCACTCCCATGAGTGCACATGCCCTATAGCAAAAGTCTCTCTTTAAAAAAAAAAAAAAAAAAAAAAAAGGGGGGGGGGGGGGGGGGGGGGGGTGGGGG